ATAAATACTTAATATCAGTACATAAGTAAATATTTCCTTTGTAACAGATGTCAATGCCACTCTGATGCCCAATGGCTTAACACTGGAATCATCCTCTTCTGATATTCTCAAACATTTCTGTGTCTTTTATGTTGTAATAAAAGATCAAAGTTTTAGGTCATGGTGAAATTTTACAACCTCAAAGCAGATCAAAAAGAAGAAAGATGTTCCAACAGCCTTCTTCAGATTAACTATTATCAAGTGCAATGGTTGCAGAGGCTGGAGAGGATAAAAGCTGCAGTAATTGTGAACCAAGATGACTTGATAACAATATTCAATATTGTCACAAAGAAAGACTGGTTCTTTTAATCATGCCAGAGGAAAGAACAGTAAATAGCCCTGTAAACATGGGTGTGGGAAGAAAACAGGGGAAGTGCTATAATGTCACCTTTGTGCAGAAAAGGTGAGCTACCTAGAGAACAGCAGGATCTTCCATCACTGCAGAGATGGTGGACTAAGCCATGACTGGCAGTGGCAGAGGAAATCTAAGGATCCAGCCCAGCTGATCAGGTTAGAGCACAGGTCACTGCTGAGTAATGTATTTATGAGTTACCAGCACAAAACAGGAGCACTCTTGGGATGATTAGAGGAAGTTGTAATGAAATGGGCTGCAGAGAATCATCAAGGGAGCCCTGTGAGACTTGGGGAAAGAAAGGGAAAGCTTAAATGCAGGGAAAAAACCTCGAAAAACTAACCCAGTGACCCACAAAACAGGAGCTGCGTTAGTACAAACTCATGATTCACTTTAGTTACTTTCCCTACAATACTGCTTTCTTGGTTACTGTCAGTCAGTAGAGGAAGCCCCTGTGCCACTACACATTCTAAATTGTGGAAGGCAACTTAATGGACATGTGAACTGGAGCTTGGTGAATATCTTCAATTAAGCACATTGGTCTGCAACACACTGCAAGTATTTGACTGAGACCCTCTCCTGTCTTGGATTATTCAGAGTTTGCTTTGTAACTGATCAAAATTTATGTATGAAAAAAACAATGTATTAATTTATATACACTGGAGGGCAATAAAGGAGCAGTCACATAAATGAAGCAATGAAAATGCCATTAAAATTAAGCCAGTATTTTCCTTTTGCCACAAGAGTTGATGGATGGCTAATTATTCTCGTTTGACCCAAGATTTACTTGAAATTAAGTCCTCTTTAGACTTGTTTTCCTTCCCCCATTGTTAATGATGTCTATCAGAGCCTCCCACAGTAGCTGCTCTGGGTGAGCTGTTCTTTCCCCACCTTACTCTCACTGCCAGCTCCTTCCTCTTTTTCCTGTTTATCTGCTTCTCATTTCCTATCATCAAGCACTAGATCATCAAGCACTGTGATATGCAAGATTTGTTTCCTTCTCCCTTCTCGTCAAGGACTTCTAACTAATATTTCTATTGTATCTCCTAATTAGCCTCTCCTGAGGCAAGCTTTATGCTGCTTTCCTGTTTATATTTTTCTGAAAGAATATTAGTAAAACTTTTTATAGCATGTTCAAAAAATCTTTAAAGCATGATTTCCTTCCTTGACTCTGTGAGCAGTGTGGGAATAGCCCATTTATTAAATCTTGAATTGGATGCCTCATGCTTTCCTGTTCCTATTTACTCTGATAAATCTGGGGAGTTGTTTCTGGATATCCTGCCAGAAGGAAACCAATAAACTGAAAAAGTGGTGAAATGAAAGTCAGTTAGTGAAGGACTGCAGAAAAGTCCAAGATGACTTGTTGATAAAAACCTGAAAACTCGTCAAAGTGCCAGAGCTTAGCTTAATGGCAGCCAGAGGAGTGTGGAAAATTACTTATTTGTGGAATTTACAAAGAAAAGACAAGTACTGTTGGCTTCTTTCCTGTTGACCAACAAATCCAGTTTTGCTGTGAATTTGTCAGCCCTGGGAACTACTGTGTTTCAGAGACTTCTCTGAACATAGCAGAGCTACCAGGCTTGGTCTGGGAGTACTTGATGCATCCATTACTTGTTTCCACACAAACCGTTTCCAGCTACCCACCTGACATCTCCTCCCCTTTATATCAACCTCATCCAGAAAATCCAACAAAGGATTTACAAACATCTCTCAATTCAGGCAGAGTCTCTCCCTCATTCAGCTAAAGATGCATTTGAAATTATGTGGCATTTGACTGGTTAGAGAAGCATTTCTGTAAGGCACAGAGGCTGGTATCATTCCCAGCCCTCACCTTTTGCATCCAGCCTGATGCCCACAGACTCACCATACTTTGAGCAAAGAATTTCTTCCTAACATCTAACCTAAGTCTCTCCTTTGCTAGTTTAAAACCATGGATATTTTAAAAGGAGGTGCCATTTGACCTTTACTTGTGCTGGGCCTCAAAACACATGCAAGTAAATTGCCCCAAGCCTAAGCCTCACATGAGAAAACTTCTGCAAGCTGATGGCACATGGGGGAATGTGACAGCTGCAGCAGAAGGACAACACTGATCTCCTGTTTGGGAACACCACTGGACAAAGAGAGAGGACTTCTGTCCTGGGATTTCTCACAGATTTTCTACAAAGCATTACCAGGGGAACTCACTCTTCAGAGAAACACTTTCACTACCAAGCATCTCCCTTCAAACACATACACTCTCTTTTAAATTTGACAGTAGCTTTTTCTCTTGAGGCTTATGTTGAGCTTTGGAGACAAAATGAAACTGAATCTCAAGTCACCTTATTTACCCTAAGACCACATTATCTTCACTTTCATGCTGGACTTCAAAGTACATTTCTGTGAGCTGCTGCTGTCACACATCAAACTTGTGCTCCAGCAGGACTTCAAGCACTTCAGCGTGACCTGGGAGAGGTGAAGGAGGAAGGCAGCCAAACAGCACACCTGGCAGCCTAAACCTCTGCCACTCACAGACTAATGGAAGGTGCACATTGAGTAATACTTGAAACATAGAAAGCAAGCAGCAAAAGAGATGTGCGGATCTCTCGTCCTCAGATTTGCAACAGGAAACAGGGAGTTTGAAGTGGTCAAGCATTATCCCTTTCAGCTGGCAGCAGCTCTCTGAAGAGCAAAGCAGCTGCAGCCAAACCACCCAGTGACACCGGCTTTGTGCAGACTTGCCCTTGTTCTGGCTTCTGACCAGACATTCCTGCTTTCCCCTCCTCCCTGCAGTTTTCCAGCCACCTGCTGCCAATTTCAAATTTCTGCTGCTATATATATTCTTTTTAATCTCTCTTGAATCCCGCCAATATTTTCTGAAGGGGAGATGAAACTGAATTTTTTCCAAGGAGGTTTTTCTAAGGAAGCAAGTTCTTTGTGATGTCAGGCTATTAATCTTTTTTAGCTTCCCTTCACATTTGAGAGAGGGAAGTGATCCGAAAAGCTTTAAGTTTCTAGATGCAAAAGATCATAGAATCATTGCATACTCAGCATTGGAAGAGACCCACAAGGATCATTGAATTCCAGCTCCTGGCCCTGCACAGGACAGCCCTGAGAACCACACCATGTACCTGAGAGTATTGTCCAATCACTGCTTGAACTCTGTCAGGCTTGGTGCTGTGCCCATTTAATACTGATGCTGTGAAGACAAATGGAGTTGTTTTTTCTTCTTTCCCTTCACTGCTGGGACCACCAGACAGAAGGATATTACAGCTGGGTATTTCACTGAGATACAGCTAGGGACAAAAACTCGGCCTTGCTGCAGGGCAGCGAGAGCAGGGAATTCACTTAGATGAGACCTGTGGGCAGTATGAGGTGTGACCAAGCATACTTTTATGCACAGATATGCACACAAAGAAATACAAAAACTGACTGCCTGCAACAGGTGTGCAGGAAGACTATCTCCCTGCAGGAGCAGATGTCAGTCTCATGAAAGTCAGCATTTTGTTTCAGACAGGTACAGGCCAGTCTGCTTATCAGACAGCAAAGCCTGAGTTGGTGAGTCAAATTTTAGCAATAGCTGCAGTTTGTTTCTTGGTGTAGAACAGACAAAAAAAAACAACCCCCCCATAAAACTCCCCACACTAGCAGTTTCTCAGACACTGCCTTGAGCTTTACTAGCCTTCAGTATTCCAGCAAACTCTCTTCCATGACATCCCAGGGGCAGCTGACTTCTAGCCACAGAGCAGTGTGTGACCCCAGCCTGAACCACAGGAAGTCACAGGCTGTGGAGGAGGTGATGGGAAATGGCAAATTATTTTCATTTTCTAGATCTCCATCATAAATGCTTTTGGCAGGGTTTACTACAATATAAGGAACAAATAACAAAGCATTTCCTCAGTCTTAAAATTAGGTGATTATTACTAGTAAAATAATGACTACTTTAAAAAGTAAAATAAAACAAATATAAGACCCATGGTCATTAGAATATTACATTAACATACAGCACACCAGCTTAATATGTGAATGTATCAGTTTTCTGTTATCTCAAAGAGCATATACCTTAGTACATAGCAAGCAAAGATTCTGACTTCAACTCCAAATAGTCACTTTATATTTACTACAAAAACATTAAATGAGATTTTTGAAAGGTGATCCTCCAGATGCAATCTCTAACATGTTAACTGCACAGAAAACACAACTTTTGGGAGCAACTGTAAACCACAGAAGGAACAAATTCTTTCTGATGCAAATCTTTATCGACCAGAAACAGACTGGCTTCCTAATCTCCAGGTTCCTTTTCAACACAGGTACCTTCCCTCAACTCAGTTCTTCCTGATATTTTATTCCCATATCAACGCTCCAGAAAGTTTCACAGGCAATTTCTAAAACCTCCTGCCTTCAGCATACCTAACAGAGGTATCAAGGTGCTCACTTGTAAAGCTGCAGCAGCCAGAGTTTCCCACCTGATGAAGGATATTTTTCAGTGAAAAGGTGTAAGATCATAGCAGTGTGTCCAGCTCAGAAACTCATTCCCAGGGCTTCCTAGAGTGCTCTGTAGGGCACAAATACAATAAGCACGTGGACCTTTACATACTAATGGCACTGACATGAAAACACTTCACAGTTAAACTGTACATCTGTAGGGAGAGATTGTGATTTATTTGTAGTTCATTAAAAAATATTTTAAAAATACAGGACTTGAGCTCAGCTTCCTTTACATAACGTGCATTGACAATGCAAACCATCCTTCTTCTTTCTGCTTTTCTGCCTGTAAAAGAAGAAACCAGTTGAGATTCATATACAGTAAATTTCCCACAGACTTGTGTGTTAGGACTGTCTGCCATTGGCACCATGGAGGGAGTCACACCACCTACCAAGCCACATCTACCTTAATTTCAAATTTCCCTTCTAAGGATGTATGGTTTGCTGTCAGGATAGGAAGTCCTGGACCCTAACTCTGTTCTCTTTATCAGTCCTTATTTAGTTTATTTTGGACACCTAGAGACAGGTTATTAATATGTCCTCATGGTTGCTTTCAAGCCTATAAACAGCTCTTATGACTGGTTTATAAGACTGTACCACTGCAGAGTTCCCTGTGAAAGCATCTCACTGCAGACTTCCCTTTTCTTTGCACATCAGGAGTCAGAAATCTAGACTGGGGCTTTCTCTTTACATTTGGATTTATTCATCCTTCAGCAACTGACTTGTGCAACAGCTAGGTAAGAGCTTGCTTGCCTTCTGACTGTGAGTCTACCAGTACATCATGATGATGACTTGAGATTTTCTGGAGCCACCAGGAAAGACTTCCAAAGGTTTCCAGTCCTAACACACAAAGATGCCACAGCAGAAAAGGGTTACTTATAAACAACACTGTGGCAGAAAATAATGAATGTCACTGGTTCTCAGGTCTCTTCTTACCAATTGTCTGTAATCCAACCTGCCACAAACTGATTAATATTAGCCCTGGGATATTTAAAACGGGACAGAACTCTCCTCCCTTCATCCATCTTATGATTATCTTTTCCCTTTTATGACAACATATTAAAATTTTCTGGCTGAAGATTTTTCACTCTCACCTTTTGTCTTTGGCTGACAGAAGTCAATTTGGCACTTTCTGACGTGGCACTTAAAGCTGAAAAAGGTTTGCTGGAGTCTCCTACAGACCTAGAAATATTCAAAATAAGATTGAAAAAGTGAAAAATTGAAATGACTACTAGAATATTACCTTTGATCCTGAGTTAGAACCCCTCATCAGCAATCTTAACAACACATGTCATCTGTCTTGTGTCAGATTGCAGATATTTTAAATACAAACAGAGGAATTTATGAAAAAGCTATTAGACCTTTGTCCCACTTGCAGAGTTTAATGTGACAAAGTCAGGGAAAATCCACAAAACCAAAAAACCACATGGCAATTTCTCCACCGTGTTCAATTTCTGCTGCATGAGTAATTAAGATAATCCAGAAATGAAATAGTAAAGGTGAAAAGTGAAAAAAAGGTGAACTTTTACCTTCTTATACTGGTCATACTGGCATGGGGAATACTGTCATCCTTGGAGCTGTCCACAGCCACTGCTACGGGAACAGACACTTCAACTGTCCTTGAATTTTCTAGGCAATAAATAATTGCTTGATTCTGATGAGAACACAGCAACATTGCACAACATTCATTGTGATTTACCATTTTTTTCAGAGGCATCACAACCTCTTCGCAACTGCACAGAATATACAGACCAGAAATAAAATACCAGGTTAAACATCAACCTCACACCCACTTTCTGAAAATGACTGACAATGAAAGCAGAGACTCAGAGCAACCACAGACAATGCTCACATATATAGAATGATTCCTCCACAGTTAAATTATCTGTGTTTTTTGGCAATTAGAGGCTTAGAGACCTCTGATCTCTCACCTCTGTTTCTTTAAGATTTTGCTTACCATGCTGAATTTACATTACAACAGCTAAACAAGCACTGAAAGTGTCATGACCCAACCCATGAGTCACTGCATAGGCACTTGTATGCAAATATTCACACACTGCTCCATCCTCCCCCTCCTTCCTCTCTCCAGGTCCTTCCTTCTTTATATAACCTGGGTGGTTGGTCGTTTCACAAGGGGAAAGGACAGGTGTCCCAGACAGAGCATGTGTACATGGTCACATGCAGTTCTGCTTGTAACGACAATGACTCCATGAAAATATTAAGCAGCTCAGACCTCCTGCAAAGTAATTTTTTTATAGTTACATATGGCAGCTAATCGATGAATCCTGAACCAGAAAGAATATTCCCTAATTTACCTCTTTACATGACTGGAAGCTCCAGTTATTCCCTTCTATTAGCACAGGCAGTAACTGAGCAAGACTGATGGAACTAAGGAACTGAGCAAGTCTGAGGGAAAGAGTAGCCAAAAGACAAAAACTAAAATGTGGTTGAGATTAGGATGACCACTCTGCCATGAGCTTTTAGAAGCCTGATGTAAATACTTCAGCCTTTTTCACCCAAGATTCTGCACAATATAGGACTGATTAAAAAGCCCAGTGCTGCCCACCAGTGACTATCACAGAATCGATTATGTCTTGAAAAAGACATCTGAGATCATTGACTCCAAGCTTTGAACACCACCAAGGCACTGTGTGCCTCATCCAGTCTCTTAAGAACCTCTAGGGCTGCTGACTCCACCACCTCCCTGTGCAGTCCATTCCAATGCCTGACAACCCTTTCTGTGAAGAAGTTCCTGCTAATGTCCAAATGTAGGATCTGTTCTTCAGACAAGAGCATAGCAAAGAACAGGTTTAACATGAAGCACAGTACTTGCAGCAGACTAATTACTCAGAAGACAACTTTAACAGAGGTTTAGCTGATACCTTTTTAGCTCTCTGGAGAAAGAAGTGTTTGTACCACACAGTCATTAATAGCAAGTGTACTGCTGACCACGAACACTGATCAAACATAAGGACTCTCCAAAGGAAAAAACCACTGTCTTACTAGTTTTTGTTTCTCCTGAAGCTGGGTACTTACCAGTGTAATTCAGGGATGGGGTTGGAACAGGAGACAGCATTGGAGGGACCATGTCAGCAACAGCTGATTTCTGCTGGTCTATCAACTGCAACAGTTTATCCCGTGCTTCTGTACTCTGCCGATTCAGCTCTGCTATTCTTTCCTCCAAGCATCGTGATACCGTGAGATGACTCTACTTGGATAATGGGATAATTACTTCCATTGAAAAATTTGCAATTTTCACCCTCAAGGAGGGCATACAATATATTTCAAGTACTTCTATGCATTTAGTTTTCAAACTGAAAGTGAGTATAATTATGTAGAACTTCTGTGAAAAATCTGATTTTGGCTCTTTCAGTGTCCTGTGTCTTAGTCCTCAACTGACTAAACATTACAATATTTTATACTGGTCTTCCCTCACATAGGAAAAATACAGCTGTTGTCCACATAATTTGAGAAAGGAAAAAACCCAACCTCCACCCCTGCACCACCCCCAAAATCAAAAACCCAAACAAACCAGCAAACCAAAACAAATAAACACCCAGCAATTAAGTACAATTAAGAATATACTTAATCAGAAAGACATATATTCAGGAGGGTGTGGGGAAGCAAAAGCAGGTTTGTAGCAGAAGTGTCCTGGAACTCATCTTTAAGCCAGGTTTTTTCCCTTGGACCTTTTCCCCTCCCTCTCAATAACTGCTTCCACAAAAACAACACTTCCTAAGGGTTTGCATCACCTTGTACAACCAAATGACTAAATGTTAAACAACATAACCCAATGGGGAAAGTGACAACACTCTAAGCCTACATTTAAATGAAGAAATTAAAAATCTTCAAGATCCTTAATTTAACAGTCAATCAGCCACTGTGATAGAACAAAAGACAATAGCAACGGCAGGGATGTTTTTGTGATATTAACCTCACTGATCCCACTGAGTAACTGCTTAGTTGCAGATTAATTTTTTTTCCACTTAAACTGAAGCCTTCAAGGTCTCTTTTTCCTAATACCTTTGGGATTTTAACAGAAGAGGACTGACAAGAGAGACCCAACAAGCACATACACTATGATCAAACATTTGCAAAATATATACTTCCACTCACTTGAATCTCATCTGCTTTTGGGTCCAAGCAGCAGAAGAGATGTAAGACATGGCTTTAAATATGCATTTTACAAGCTTGACAAGAAGCTGTGGGTTGGTGCAGTGCTTTCACTGCTAATAGTACCCAAACTACAAGAGCTTGGATCATGTTGCAACACCACCTCATTTTGCATCATAACCTTATAAATGTGCTGCACACTCTTCAGAACCCATGTACAACATAGGCCCAATATGAGAATCTATTGCTGATCTGCTTATGGAACAATGATAAACATCACAAGTCTCCAAGCAAACAAATAATAACAGACAACATGAAAGAAAAAAAAAAGCACCAGTAAACAATGAGAAAGCAGATCAGCAGAAAGGAGATCCAGCCTTCCTCTTCCGTTAAATTCTGACCTGTCCTTGTGAAGAGTCTGGACTAGGATTTTGTGTCAGGTCTGGCTGATGTAGACAATCGCTTTTGTCTCCAGGGACACCTCTGAATTTGCTCAGTTGAGCTTTAATTAGAGCATTCTGCCGTGTGAGCTCAGCTATCTGTCCCAGCAGATCACCATTCTGAAGGAACTCTTCAGCTGTACTGTTTTTCCCAGCATCACCTGGGCAGGACAGATTGATTTTCTTGTGAGAACCCTCCAAGTCTTTGTCTGCAGGAGGAATTGGTTGCCTCCGAGAGATAGGACAGTTTTCTTCAGTTGTGCTCTGTGTCCTCAGGGAGGAAGGTATGCTTCTTTCTTTGCATGGCTCTCTTTCAGTAGACTGGGAAATGGCTGCAAAAACTGCAAACATGAGATAAAGGAACAGTAAGGACAATGACACGTGATCTTCACTGAGGAGACTAACAGTGACTTTATTGCATCAGGTTACTTGACTAAAAATCAAGCAAGAATTTGAATTTTAACACCTAGCCTGAATGGTGTTATGGTATTGACCAAAACCACTTTATGCAATATCCTGCTGTAAGAACTTACCAGGTGTGTATTTCCTATTACAGACAGTCTTCCATTCAAATTATTTAGAGATTGACAGAGAAGTCACAAAGAGAAATTGTTTTGAATTTCTCAGCTGACAGATGAAATACTATTTCTTAGTTAGTCTTCCATTTTCCAAAATTCAGTTACCTTACCTGATAACCTAAGTTTTTGTTTCAGTTCTGGTATTTATATTGGGCTATTAACAAAACTTTTAGGATACTAAAACAAAAAACAAATACAAGACTTTTGGCATGATAACAAACTAACTACTTAACCCCTAAAGAGGAAGCACTGTGGCCAACAAAAGCAGTCATGTATTTTTTTGTGGTCATCATCAGCAAAGAGATAACACACCACAGAGACATGACTACAGTCACACCATTGTCTGCTGCTACTTGCTAAGTCCAACTCCACTTTTGTGACCAAAACCAGATTTTCATATACCAAATAGCCCATTCCTTCACAAGCTTTAGTTTTTGCCTCTTGAGCAGAGATGAACACTTAAAAATTTATACTCAAATGTGTTTTATGAATATTTGAGCATAAAGAAATATTCATGAAGTTTAATATTTGTTGGGCCATTTAGCATCAGTCTTAAGAAAGTAACAATATATTTCAGAGAAATCTTGGAATGCAGTTCTTCAATACAAATTGTTGTTTCAAATGTCAGAAGGTATCAGACAGTTCTCAGTGAGACTGAAACCAGACATTGCTCTTTGTAGAACAAGACTTTTAGTTCATTTTCTCCACGTTGTTTATGTACCTCCATGGTGGGCACAGCAGCCCACCAAGTGGCTGAATTAGATATAAACTTCCAATTGCCCAGCAATCTCCTTAAAAAATCAAGAGGACTTTTGGTTATTTTTCTGACTTGGAAAAGGCTTACCAAACAACACAGCTGAAAGGGAGGAAAAAAGATAAAAATCCCAAAATCCACTCCTGTACTCTTCCCTCTTGTCAGCCACCATCCATCTGGCCACAGATGTAATTATCTGCCTCTCCACAAGGGTGTTATTCAGGGCCCTGGCAGGTCCAGTGGGATGCATGTGCTTACAGTGACAATTACAGCAGGAAACAGCTCAGTTTTAGAATCACAGAGTGCTTCTACTCACTTCAGTAAAGGTAAATGAGAAACACATTCCCTAATCACCCTGATGAACTTTCTTCCTCCCATGAACCATAACTGAGATACCAACCTAAAAAACTCGTAAAGCCTATGGATACTGAGACAAGACTGAGCTACCTGGTTATTTGGCACCACATAATTTCACCCAAAATTTCCTCAACCATTTCCTGTGTATTAAATGAAACCAAATGGGAACCTGACTCCCACAGCTTCCAAAAACTCCTTTGCTGGGAAGACAGGCTCAAAGCAGGAGCTCACAGCCTACAGACATCCTGGTGTGTCTGCAACATGCACTGCAGAAACAAGGAAGTTCCAGGCTCCAGTGGTTTCACCATTAAAGGTGAAGGAGGCTGGATTACACCATCAGCAGATGGAAATCTGAAATGATGTGCTGCAGGTCATCGACAAAGAACTTCAGCAATCACACAGATATGATAATCAAAATGAGTACAGAATAATGATGTCAGTCTGCATTGCCACTGACAGGACTGCTGCCAGGAGATGGAAAACAGGAAGTGTAAAGGCTGTCTAGCAACAGGCATAGTAACAAAGGAAATGTGTATCTGGGTGCAGCAGTAGGATATTCCAGCTATAGGGCCAATATATCTAGGCATACAGATTAAAAGTTTTCCATGGAAAATACATCTTCAGAGGTAGTGTGAGATTGAAACAGTGACACAAAACACAGACTCCTAAGTCTACTGCAGTCAGAGAGATCTCACCGTTCTGGAGGGAAGACAATTCCTGACTGCTCTTCTGCTGTGGTGGGGACAACAGCACAGCTGGCTGGAAGATGTGAGCTGGAAAGTTTCTACCTGGTCTCATGTCACCTGAGACACCTGGCCCTGGGCAAAGCGTGAAAGGAAGTTCTTCCTGTGGAAATTTTAGCATATTTTCCCTATTGCCCACATCAATCCTGGGGTCAGAGTAGGTCAAATCAGGTTTTTCTAAAGAAAAAGACAAAACAGGGATAAAAGTTAAAAAAATGAACAAAACAAAGGAACAAAAATTACTTATAGTGAAACAGCAATGTAGGAAGATTTATCAGGAACAACTCTTATGTTCAGATACCTGAAAAGACAGACTAGAGTATGTTCCACACACACTCCTACCTTTCTTTTGATACTCAGGTACAAAATTCTTTCATGCAAGCAAATTATAAATTTTTACTGGCTATAAGAACAAGAATAACTCTTACACATAGCTTCACAATTTCAGGACAGTAACAGGAGATCTGTTTGTAGCTCATGCACAAGACTTACAGATACATGACTTGAACAGGTATTTCAGCTGTGTTTGGTAATGTTCTCTTGAAAAAAATCAGACTTTTGTACTTGTCCCAATCCCCAATATTATAAATTTGAGGGCAACAATGCTTTAGAAAATAATTCAAGGCTTTTTTGAGCTCTGCTGATCTTATTATCATTTAATTTAAATGAGACATCTCTTCAGTAAAAAAAAAAAAAAAAAGTAGTTATTTTTCTCCACTTAACTAAGGAAAGCAAGGAAAGATTTGAAGATTCTAGTGCTGCAGAACTGTTGAATGTGAAAGTTTGGGTGTTAGGTTGGGGTTTTTTTGAGGGGTGCTCTTCTAACTGTTTGGATTTTATATTTTAGGGGGTGGTTTCCTATTGCTTGCTTTTACAAGGCCTAGGTCAATCACAAAATAAAGGATCTAGTATGTGGCTTCTTCCCAAGAAGAAACTTCTTCCAGGATGAAAGCTTTTACCTAAAAGAAATATTCACAAACCCAAGATTTTACTATGGAATACATGCAACTGAGAAATCTTGGGATTCACAAGAAATTACTGACGTTGGGAGCAAAAGCAATGCATTTAAACAACTGACCAGGAAAGACAGCTGGGAGAAAACTCAGTGGTGAAAGGTGGTTAATAGGCCAAGGTGAATCATTTTTGGTTACTCTGGCCACCAATCTACTGGCTTAGCCTATCTCCATGTCACACAACACTCAGCTGGGCACTCCCCCACACGCAGTCAGGAACACCAAGTGACCTCTCTGACTGGCTGGTTCCCGGCCTCAGCTGCTGCTGTTTTGGCCAGCAGCGACCTCCAGCGACTTATGGAAGATTCAATCTCAGACTGCCCGGCTGCTCAGCAACAGGAAGCTGAGATCTTGATTCTGTTGGGTTTGACTTCTTCGGGTTTCTGGGGTTTTTTTATGACCCTCAGAATGAAAGTGACTTTGGAAGCCATCTTAATGGGGCAAGGTTACTCTCCTGCTTTGCTTGTGCTCCCAGCAGAACCCATGGCTCGTGAATTTACAGAAGTGACATCGGTGCTCATGCAAGAGGTACTTGTGCAAACAGACATCTATTAAATACCAGATTTTCCACTCCAGGGATAAACTAAGAACTCTTAGTTTAAAGTCTTTTCACGCTTCACATTTATTGTACGCACCTTGGCTGTTTGCTGGGCCTCTGCTTTCAGTTCCAAAATGTTTTGGACTTTGTTCTCTTTCAGGTTCTACCAAAGGGAGGCCTTTAAATGCTTGTATGAGACACATCAGCTTTTGATCTGTTACTGTCATGTACTGCTGAAGCTTCTTCTAAAGGAGGAAAAAAAACCATACACAGAATTACACAAGTTTGTGTTCTATCAATAAATTAGAAAATTATATACTGTAAGCAGTCCTGAGGAGAAATTTAGCCTTTTAATACTACTGCATGATCGTGTAGGATTCCAATGAGGATTAAATATTATTGTCTCCATGTTTCTTATTTATAAATCATTAGTTTTGCCTTTTCTTACTCATGACATCACTTCCTCTCTAAGGTTTCTTAATTGCATCATTCCCAAGTGTAGCCATTGATCAAATCTACCTCCACTGCAAACTAAAAAAAGGAAAATGTAGTATTACATCTACTCATTGCTCCAGTAGTGTTAACAGTATAGAAGTGTGAAGGAAGATGCCTAAAATTTTATATGGATAAAGTAAAGATCAGTTTCACAGAACCAGCACTTTCTAGGGCTTTGAAGTTAAATAAAGATAAACGAACGGCTTTCCAAACATTTCATACCCATACCTGCTAGTGTAATTCTCACACTCTTCATTCAATTTTGTAATTTTCTTTCTGTTTATGGTTAAAATATCCAGAACATGAGATAATGCATCTCAGCCCATATTTCCAACAGAACACAGAATTCTAACACATAACCCTGATGGGTAAAGAGTAAGGGGGACTCAGTACCTGCATAGTAACATTTTCTTCCCTTACTTGAAGAACTTCAGCAGTCAGAGCATCAATTAGTTCTCTGTGTTCATTCAACATCTTCTCCTGCTGCTGCCTCATCATATCTTTCTCATGTAGCTGCATTTCAGTCTAAAGAGGGAGAAAAAAATTGAAAACTTAGTATAAACCAATAGAGACTCATATTTGAAAACAGGAATGAGTCATTATGACATCATAATGTAACAGCTCTTCCTACTATTGCTAACCTTCATTACTTTCATGACAAAATCCAATTGTCTGGCCTTGAGAACTGTCAGAGAGCTTACTGTTTATCTTTGTTCCTCCAGGAAACCGTAGAGAATCCTAGACATCCTTGTTCTTCTGCCTTTACAGCTTTTACAGGATGTAACAAAAAGCATTTTCTCTCTGTACAGATACAGTCTCTTAAGTCACTGAATTTTCATGCAGGAATCAAATAATTCCAGGTGTGCTGATGCTTGTCAGTATCCCATGCTACTTGTGACTAATCTTTAGTTTCCTTAGTTCATTAATGAAGACAAAATTGACTAAGTAAAGGAGAAAGTACTTGCTTTCTAATGTTTTCCATCAGAGAGAAAAAGTTCTAGAGGGTTTCAAAATCATGATGACCAAACAGTTCTTCATCCACATGAAATGAATGAATAAATGAATATTTTTGAGACTAACTCACAGATACTGCCACTAGATACAAAGGCAGTACACTTCCCTTAAGTATATGAGAGGCAAACCATCCATTTTGTTTCCCTTCCAGCTAGAGAGAACAGGTTTCTTTCATTGATCCAAGTGAAGCATTCTGGCTCAGAAAATGGATTAAAAAATCTGTTCCTGGTCCTCTCCTTTCAGAAATCAAAGACAGCACAAAAAAAGCACTTCTACCCTGGTAGCAGTGATGAAGTTTCTGATGCCTTAGATCATCTGGATGAGCTACTGTATCTCAGCATTAACCTAGTCTTGGAGGAAAAGCTTCCAAGTGGCTCTGTCTTACATTTATGCATAGGGAAAACATCAGGATTAACATCCATTCCTATCCCCAGGTAGGATTTCGGTCTGGTATACCCTGAAAGTACTGTTTCCATCCCAGCCCACTGCCAGGTGTGGCTCGAATCACATGAGCTTTAACACTGCACCAGAACATGCAGCAGATAGGGAGAACAGAGCAGCACAGATTCAGGGAATATGCCCACACTCTTTCTGTCATGTGGGTCTGGCAAAGAAACAGCTTTCTTAGCAGAATGGGAGTGAGGAGGGAATTATTAATTCTAACATTTGGAAGGTGATCTAAAAATTAGTTTAGAAACCAAGTCAGATTTATCCACTGCCCTTTAAGAATTTCATATGGTTTTGCAAACACTTCAGAAGTTTCTTTTCCTCCTTTTCAGCCTCTACTCTATCCATTGATTTCTTCTTATAGGTGTTGGTTTGTTAATAATTTAATAAAAACACTTTCATGGAAGATTCCTGAATTCAGGTTTCTTTTTCTACTTTTTAGATACAATTTTGAGAATAAATTAGGCAATGTCCTTTATTGCAATCCTTCCAATTTTCTGCAGCAAAACTGGAAGTAGAGAAAGGGAATCTCTCTAAAAGCTTTGAAACCTCATGAAGACTGACTGTTTAACTAAAATCAGGGCTTTCTAAATATTCCCTTCCAAGTAGTTTTCTTAAAAAGCATTGCCAGTTATAATTCAGGCATTGGAATTCTGCTAACTCTGTTGGCTAGGCAAGACAGATGGTGCACACAAAGTGCTTGATTTATGTCTGGCATCACAGGGACCAGGTTTTATGAAACACTCAAGAAAAGCTGGGCTTCTTCCCAGAAAATTCTAATTGTAATTAAACCTCCCTGAAAAGGAGAAAGGTCACTTCAGATTATGAATGCAGTATCTATCTCAAGCAAGCCTGAATACAATTAACCACATTACACAGCTTGAGTGACTTCTTCATATTGCTGCTTGAGAATTTAGGTAGTAAATTTATGAGTGTGGTATACAATTCTGTGAGCAATAATCAACTTCTAGAAGGATGGAATGGTAACACAAAAAATATGGGAGTAGCTTTGGAAGAAATCTGAGGCTAAGGAATAAACAATCTCTATACAAAAATTAAAGACAATCTAAACAGGATTATAACTGCAGTTACATCTATAACACAAACTGGATGATATTAAATTGATGTATTCCTAATAAGCAGAAAAGATTCTACTGAAAATCTAATATCCTTTCTTAGAACTGCAAAAGAACCAAATTTAATTCCCTGCTATGGTATTACAATTTAACAAAAATCAAGCATTAATAACTTTGTTTTAATAACAAATAATAAGCATTTAATAAGCGTTAATAACTGTGTTTTAACACGTAAGACTTTCTCAGCTGAAGTCCACCTTTTGACAGCACTTGCTTTTCACTCTTGGATTGATTATTTACCATTTACTTCCTGGACTTAATCAAAGTAAATTCTTTAATACAGATTAAATACAGAGTAATACAAGGATCAAGTTACTACACATCTGGTAAGAAAAAAAAATTGAATTTTAAAATAACATCAGTTTTCCCCTTTCAATTATTATACATTCTGAAAAGGAACCAAAGTAAGACAGTTCCACATTCATTATTATCTCATTCATTATTATCTCATTAGAGATGTATTACCTTTGCTATGAAATAGAGCATTTAGATAATATATTCTGATATATATATTCTAATATTAGCATTTAGATAATATATTCTGCTGCACCTATTAAGAGCACAGGAACTGTCATAATCTGGTTTAAAATGTCACATAGACCAAATGAATCTGTGAGGCATTGCTGCTTCTTGATAGTTCTGGGATACAGATGAACTAAAACACCCTTTTTTTCCCTTTTCTTTTTTAACAAAAGCTTCTATGTGGCAGACAGGTTGTCTTTATGGAATTCCATTAATTCCCAGCTCTGCACTGTTACAGCGAGAACGTCAGGGCATTCTTACTTGAGGTAAAGTTTCTGTTACGGATAGTGAAAGAGGACTAAGGAATCCCTCAAGGAAAATAGGGGATTTGGGTCCACTGCTCTGGTGACAACAGCATCACCTTTGGGAGGCAAAGGAAAAAAATGAATTTGTAAACAATGCTGTACTTATTACTCTGTTACAACTCTGAGTACATGTAAAGAACAAATTTAAAATTATTTCAATTGCTGTTTTCTACTCTTAGACACCGAGAGACTTTCACTGCAGTCAACTCTTCCATTTTCATTCCAAGGGATACCAATTACTAACCAGCTCCTGACAAACCACAAGTTTTACCTCCTAATTGTATGCAAATCTAGCAAATAAGCAATGATAATCAGAGTTCAATGTAAAATGATTTGAAGCCAGAAAAGACCAAAGTTCACATCTGTAAAATAACTTTACACCCTTTTTCATTCACTTTCCAGGAGCAGTTGTAAGTCTCTCACCTCTCTGAGGTAACGCATCAAACGACAGAGGGCGTTCACCAGTGACAGAGTAAACCCAGACAGGCCTTCACTTCTCTCTTTTTTTTGGACCTCACGTCCTGTACATCGCTCATATTCCTCCAGTTCACGCTCTACTTCCTGGATCATGTGGTTGAGAACATCTAGACCGGATCTGTTGTCCCTTTGAAGGTTAGTCTGGATTAAATTAGTTGGAGAATCATCTCTCTTCTGTCTTGCAGAGTTCTGTGCAGCTTGCTTTCTTTTCACTGAAGGGGAAGAAAAAAATGGGTCACTGGAATTTCAACTTGTATAGAGATCTTCACAGTAGCAACGAAATTGCATTGTTTATTGAAGTAAATCAAAGGAAATGCCCTCTCTTGCCGTAAGATGAAACAGACCATCAAAGAACATCCCCCAGCCGTTACAGCTATTTTCAGATCCTCAAAAACCACATTTTTTGCTGCCACAATTGTACCTCTCAAGCACAACTGTTTGGTGCTTTTATCTTGGATACACTGTTTGTGCTTTTCTTCTTTCCAGTTAAATGCATGGGAATAGTTTGCTTATGAAAAACATCAGCTACTTTCTCATACTCAGTAAGCAACTCTCCTTTCATGCTACAGCTTGTACCTGACG